AAAAATATATTAAATAGTTAAATCTAAATATTAAATGTGGCACCTAAATGTTAAATCTAAATATTAAATCTAAATCTAAATCTAAATGTTAAATCTAAATGCTAAATATAAATATAAATGTTAAATGTTAAATCTAAATGTTTTGGCTGAAACTAAATATTTAGCTAATATGCAAATTCACACTGCCGGTCACCGGAAGTACCAAAATAAAAGCTTGAGATGGTCAGACTGTGTTTATAGAATCAAATAACGAATTAAAACCAACTTATTGGGGGAAATGGACACTTGAACATACATTAGCGTGATAATAACTACCTAAAATAACAAGAAACATGTTTGGAGAAATTTTATTTGATGTGTACTTTGAGTTGTTAGTGTCCCTTCGGAGGGACTAACAACCTAAGCTAAGCTAACAACCGTTAGCTCTTAGCCCCGTTAGCGGTGTCTGTAATGATTCATTAACTCTTAAACGGTCCATGAAAAAAATATTTTTTTGCAGCGGATGTCTTAGTTACAACATGATTGAGCTAGCAAAGCAGTTTTGTGTTGCGATGTGTGGTATTTATTCAGTTTTGAGAAATTACGATGTTTAGAAAGCATCAGTGGCCACAGCAGCAGCAAAGCTAACATCAGGACGTCATCTGTTAAAAGCCTCCTGTTGTCGGGTACGACATGAAACTACTCCCGTTAGCTCAATCATGTTGTAACTAAGACATCCGCTGGAAAAAATATTTTTTTCACTGACCATTTAGAGTTAATGAGTCATTACAGACACCGACATGTCCGGGCAAAAGAGGACGTTTGGTCAGCCTAATATATGTGGCACTGTTTTTAATTTCATAAGAGTTCGTCTTTGAACACAGGCATATTTTCAAGGAAGCAATCACTCATAAGGGCCCTTTCTTCACCCAACACATCGTTGGAGGGCCCACTCTCTCTATGGGCCCCTCCCACTTCACAGGGCCCAGTGCAACCGCACTGCCTGTACTGTCCATATTTACTCCCCTGCCTCTCACACAGGTGCAGAATGTCTGTGCTGGTGAGCCGTCAGCTGTGCAACTTTTTGGCCCCAGACGCAGCAATGCCAGGCGATGCAGCAGGGGGCCTTTATCGCTGCTAGTTCTCTGATGTTGTTTTGGTGTGTCTGGGCCTTTGAGACAAATTCTAGTGCAGGGGCGAATTAAACCATTTTACACCTTTAAGGGGTGAGAGTGGCTTCAGAGAGCTTCCACTATTATTTTTTTATAGAAAGCTCAGTCTCTCAACTGATTTATGCAGCCAATTTTGATTTAGTTATGGCACTAATTACTTAGAAATAAAAAATTTAAAACAAAAACAAACTTTTCATTCCAGGCTTTTCGAGCCCCCTCTCCCATTGGGACCCTGGGTAATCTATTAGCATGGCATCCAGAAGTTGTAATGAAAACTGCAAACAGCTACGAGCTAATGCATGAGGCATTAGAGTTAAAGCAAGGTTTTTTTTTACACCTGCATGCAGTGAGAAGTCTTCAGTTGAAAATAGCCTCGCGTCACCAGGCTCTTCACGTAAAGTTGAAAAGGACAGAAGACCTTAGAGGTTTCTCAGCCCCATAGCATATTGGTCTCTTGGGCATTTTACGTCTGAACAAGGTCCAAGTGATTGACAAAAGTTTACACACCTGGCGGCAATTACAGTCAAGCAAACGGCTGTACGAGACCGTTACAGCATGTGTGTGAGTGCTGGTTGGGACCCCTGGTTGTGGATTTTGGGGGCAGTGCTAAATTCAAACGTGCTCTGTTTTAACACACGCCTCATTTCAACTCCACTATTCCGCTCAGAGCTTCTGCTGGGAGGATGAACACGAACACACAGAGGACAATGCGACAGAGAAACAAAGTAACTGTAGTAAGTTTGAGGAAATATGTTGTTTCTCAGTAGAAATTATGGATGCAATAGACTCAACTGATCCATACAGCCGACCAGCGCGCAGGACACAATGGATAGTCAGCACTCTGGCTTACCATTACGGACTGGACAGAGGAGTGGAGAACGAAATCATAGTTTTGGCAACGGGGTTGGATCAGTACCTACAGGAGATCTTTCATCATATGGACTATCAAGGTGGAGGCAAAATCCCCGCCGAGGATTTTAACATTTTGTGTGACGTTTTGGGACTGAACAAAGAGTCGGAGGATACAGAGTGCACTGGAGTTTTAGACAATTTACCCAGCGAGCTCACCTTCAGAAACTTCCACGCTAAACTGTGCGGATACTTCAGCACCAAGGCGGGCTGTCAGTATGAGAACGGCCGGCTGCTGGTCGGGAAGGACAGCGAGCATATAGAGACTCAAATCCGCCTGAGAAGCCCTATGAGGCGGCGAGATAAGCTGCTGTCTGTGGGTGTAAGCGGCCCCTACTCGGAGGGACGGCACGCCTCCGCTTGTAGGCTCGGATCCTGCTCCAGAGAGTGCTATGAGGAGATAGTGGCGCTGGAGGAAGCAGAGGACCGAATAGCCAAACTGGAAGATGAAAGTGCAAGTTTAAGGGAGCTGATTGAGGACTTGCGAGCCGCACTTCAGAGCAGTGATGCCCGCTGTTTGGCTCTTCAGGTGAGAGTGCTGATGATACAGAAGAGTTTGTTCTGCCAAGTAGAGGAAGGCAACACCCATAAAACCCTGCTTTAACTTTTGAATATGATGCCACCATGGGCGTAGATTTTTTTCTTTTGGGTGGGTGGGGGTTTCACGTCACCTTAGCATTTAGAAAACACTTTCATTTTGACAAAAGTTGTTAAATCTCTCTCCTCAAAGCCAGGCTCCACTGACAAAAACAGTAATTTAACATTGCCAAACACAGGAGCTGCTGGTCTACTGTTTCCTTGATCAGTTAGTTACTTTGTGTAATTGTGTGACTTTGGCATTTAAAAGTGGTTGTTTGGATTCACCAATCACACAGTAACACAAATGAAATAACTGATCGAAATGGAGGTAGACTAGCAGCTCCCGTGTTCAGTGAGCTAAAATTACTGTTATTATCAATCAAGTCTAGTCGCTTTGACAAGAGCATAGATGGGGAGCTGAAGCTGTTATTGGCTTCCCTGTCAGAATGGGCTGTCTGATGGAAAGATAAAGCGTGATAGATGTTTTAAAAAGTTCAAAAATTCCAAACTTAGCACTGACAATGACTCATGTATTTTAGGAATCAGGCTAGCTATATGGTACAGAAAGCAAAGTCAGAATTTTATACTGATTCTATCGCGGCTAACTCACATAATCCTAAAAAACTATGGAAAGTACTTAGTGACATGGGCTCCACTGCAAAATCAAAGTCAAATTCTGGTAATATTGGACTAGTCATTAAGGATGAGTTGTGTTTTGACAAGCAGCAGGTTGCCTGTCATTTTAATAATTTTCTTTACAATGGTTGCTACCAGTCTGGTTAATAAGTTGCCTTTTGCTTCAGGTATATGGCAAAACTTTTGTTAACTCTGTTTATAAAGGCAAAATGTACTTTCTAACACTTTTGAAATAAGCCCTGTCTCAGAAGACAAGGTAAGAACGTGCCTATCCACCCTGTCAGTGAATAAGGCCACTGGACTGGATCTTATTCCCTCCAGGTTTTTGAGAGAGTGCTGGTGTAACAGCTAGTATTCTGACGCATGTCATAACTCTATCATTAAGGCAAGGTGTGTTTCCAAATGTAATGAAGAGTGCAAGGGTGGTCCCCTTTTTAAGAAAAATAGCAGATTCAGAGGTTGGAAATTATAGGCCAGTTTCAATTCTGACTACTATATCAAAGGTATTCAAGCGTATTGTGTATGAGCATGTGGAGGAGTATCTTGTCAGGCAAAAGTTGCTGTATGAATTTCAGTCTGGCTTTAGAGCAGCATACTCTACTGACACCTGTCTTATTCATTTCTTTGATTATATTCGTCTGAACTTTGATAAAGGAAACTATGTTGGTATGATACTTCTTCATTTGCAAAAAGCGTTCGATACCGTCAATAAATGGTTCTCTTCTTACCTCACAGAAAGGACTCAAGTCTGTGACGTTGAAGGTACCATTTCTGATTCCCAGGATATAACTTCTGGGGTGCCCCAAGGTTCTTTCCTGGGACCCCTATTATTTTTAACATATATATTTACGATATGTCAGCTGCTAAAACATGCAAGCTTCTTTTATATGCTGATGACTCTACCTTACTTGTTCCAGGGAATGATGTGAAGGAAATAGAGCATATTCTTAGCAAAGAGCTTGAGGTAGTTAACCAGTGGCTTATAGACAACAAGCTTTCTATACATCTGGGTAAAACCGAGTCCATCCTTTCTGGAACAAAAAGGAAATCAACAAATTCAAATACTCTAAGGGTCAAGTGTAACAGGACTGAAACAGTGTTTCAATCAAAGGTAACACATTTAGGATTAACATTAGACCATTAAGTGACATTAAGTGTGCCAGTAAATTAAAATTCCTATATCGTAGGACAAGGCATTTTGATTTTCCCACTAAGAAATTACTTGTTTTATCGCTGATCGAGTGCCACTTTGATTATGCCTGTTCTGCTTGGTTCTGTGGATTATCTGCTAAACTTAAAAACAAATTACAAGTGATGCAAAATAATGTGATCCGGTATTTGCTGAATGCTCCCCCCAGAACCCATATTGGTAGGGAAGAATTTAAAAGGGTTGGCCTGCTGCCAATAAGTCTTAGAGTGGAACAGCTTAAATTAAATCATATGTTTAATGTTGTAAATGGATATGCCCCCATTTATTTATGCATTAATGTAACTGTGGTCCACACACAGCACAACCATAGCACTAGGGCCAGCGTTCGATCTTGTATAGTACCTATAATCAGTAGTACACCCGCAAGTACTTTTTTCTACACTGGTATCAGGCTATGGAATAGCTCACGGGGTGATTTTTAAAAGCCATGTTAAGATGTTTTTATGGAACAAAGTGAATGCAGCATATTGAATGTTGAGATTTACTAGCCGTTTTTATTTATTTACTGATGTTTAATGTTTTCTGTCTTGTCTTTTAGTAATTGTGTTTTTTTTTTTAATCAAATCAACAACAACAAAAAGCGCTGAAAATACTCAATATAGCGCACACTTAAAGTGATATTGATTTTTGTGGGTGGGTCTTTTTTAGGTGGCTCAAATACATTTTATTGCTGACCCCTCCACAGCAGTACATGGCTTACGCCAGAATTCCACTGGATGCGTGTCCGTTGCGAAACGGCTGTGCTGGTTATCTGCTGCATGCTCCGCCGTCCGTCAACACCCACCGGCTGCGTTTGCTGTGCGGAGCGGTGTAGCTCCGCCGAACAGCGGGAGTCACGAGGAGCCACGAGATCTCGCGAATTCACGCATAATTGCACGATATAACAAGATGTAGTTTCTATTAACAGAACCACAAAACCAGAGGAGTAGTAGGAAGACATCTCGGTGCACCTCCATGATTAACATCTCCTTGTCCATGGTGTCACCATGGTGAAATGACGTCTGAAAACCTCTGACCTGTTGACTTCAGGCCTGCCTCCGCCCGTTATGACATTTTCAAGGTGTAGTGCAGGGAAATATGATCCCCTGTGAACACTGTGTATTTTATTTTGAAAATTAACTGGATGTTTTATTTTGTTTCTGTGCACAACCTCCTGCCCCGCACCATTGCTGCGTTGTGCTCCGGCGTCCGGCAAAAATAGAAGTCATGCGTGTCTTTTGCGGAGGGCTCTGGAGCGCCGCAGCTGTGACAGAGCCAGAACGCAGCGTAATATAAACTGGGGGGCACACTGACTGAAATCTACTGCAGGTGATACACTGACTAGGGATAAATACCCCAAACAACCCCACTTCAAAAATCCGAACTATCCCTTTAAAAGCAGTGGTCAAATAAGATGAATCAACCATACATCATTGAAGCAGGAATTACTACAACATTTTCACCTTAAATTGATACAGAAAAGACACATATTTGCATAAAATTCATCAGACTGCATAAAATGAAGTATTTGATGCTCAATATTTCTTGGGGAAGGACCTCCAGACCCCCGCTTAATATGTGTTACCCAAATTGTTGAAAAAACAGTAGCCCTTGCCATTTCTGTTCTTAGAATGTAGGCTAATGGGTTCATTCAGTTGGATCATACAAGCCCCTAATGCAATTAGCAGTGTTAGTAGTAAGTTACTCTCAAAATGTAATATATTACATTTTACTAGTTATCTTCATTTGAAAGTAATGTTACTTTACAATATTACTCTGTGTAGAGTAATAAGTCACTTATTACACAACTTTTGAGTTACTTTGACCAAAATGAGCTCAGAAGAACTAATGTTCATTTTAAATGGATGAGGGTCATGTTGTAGCAGCTCATCAAAGCACAGAAGCTCCAGTTTATTACAGTTCATTTCAAATCCAGTACTGTGCAGGTCTGACACATTCATGCATTCACATACAGTGGTTACCACTTTGTATTAAAATCCTCTGCTATTAATAATAGGGTGATGATATTAAAGCTGCAGTAGGTAGAAAGCCCGAAAACGGTTGATTTTTGTGTCTCATCTGAATTAGGTTTCGTTCGTCTCCACCCTGAGCCCCTCCTACCAGACGAGCACGCAAGTATTTTATCCTACTTGGTTCTATTTCTCCCTCTCTGGGAGCCTCGGCTCTCCCTCACCGCGCAGCAGCCCTCCCTATCTCTCCCTCGCGGCCCCACACATACTCCCTCTCCGCGGATAGCCCTTGGCTCCGCTCCCACGGCCGACCCTCGTGCCCTCCGGCCGGGCCCGGCCCCACCTCACCCTTCCCCCCCCTCCGGGGCTCCGGGGCTCCGGGGAACCGAGTTCTGTCTTCCTTTTTTTGGGTTGTTTAGCCGTGTAGGCAGTTGTAGCCAATGCTGGAATAGCTATTTTACCTGGTGCACTGTTTGCCATTGCCGCTTGCTCTCCTCTTCTGCCGGCGGCACGGGAACGCGCATATGCAGTAGAACAGCCAATAGGAACGCAGTGGTCTGAGCAGACCTTTGATTGGTTGATACACATCGGCACCAAACCTATTGTTTGTCTCAGACCACTTGATTTACATTATGCTTAGAGGATATTATAAAATTTTTACTCAATTATACCAAAACAATGTTGCCTACTGGAGTTTTAAATAGCCTAGCCCCTTTAAAATAATTGAATAGCCTTGAACACAGGGAGGGTCAGCCAGAGGATCAAAGTCTGATAATTATGAGATATGGATAAATATTTGTGGGCCTATGACATGAAACACAAACAAATGTTGAGGTTAGCACAACAAACATAATGGCATGTGAGTCAGTAACTATGATGGGCACAAATTAATACACCAGAGCTGGAAGACCCACCTGCTGGTTTCCGGTGTGCCGGTCAGCTACAACAGCAACAGAGAGAGAGTTACACATAACAACAGGACTGTGTGCCGGCGTTGCTCTGCAGTTGTAGGGGATGTGAATGGAAACGCATCTAGTTTATACCAACATCACCCAGATGTGCTGATCACCAGGACATGTTCAAAACAAACCAGAGGCCTGCAGCTCCTTACCCCTGCTGCTTTCAGGCAGCCTAAAGACGCAAAAGCAGAACTGGATACGTTGTAGATGTTGCATGTGTATTAATGGACACACACTGTACATGATAACACACAGTACATCATGACCCACATGTGCCAATCACCGGCACCCTTCTATAATGTAGTCTGTAATGACATGACAAGACACAATAACCTTCGGGGGATATTTCTAGTGGTGCACAGACAGAAGTGGAGCGGTGTGGATTAGCATGGATGGAAATTAAAACAATTAACAGTTTATTTCAGGTTGTAACGCGTTATGTGATATTGTAAATGTAATAATATTATCCAAAATTCTGTTGGTAATGGGTTGTTTCAATTCAATTCAATTCAGTTTTATTTATAAAGCCCAATATCACAAGTCACAGTTTGCCTCACAGGGCTTTACAGCATACGACATCCCACTGTCCGTAGGACCCTCACAGTGGATAAGGAAAAACTCAGGAAGAGCAACTGAGGAGGGACGTGCAATAGATGTCATACAGAACAGATCAACATAATAAATTTGCAGTAATCAATATGACAAAATGATACATTACCAGAGGCTATATTACTTTGTTACTGCTAATACGTAATATATTACTGTAATGCTTTACTGTTATAATGTGTTACCCCCAACACTGGCCATAAGGCACAATAGGAATCCTTGTATCAGAGAACAGGGGGGCTTTTAGGGCTCCCCTTCTCAACAACCTTGTCTGAAGGGTATATTCAAGGTATATTGCAAGGCAACCACTGCCATCAACACCCAACCGTTTTTATTAACAGCTTATAACTGATCAATAAGGCATTAATGATTGATTTATAACCACTGAGAAAGCCATTAGTTACAAGTTATAAACCCTTTGTAAATGATGCCAATGTGATTATAAATGCCTGCAAGTCATTTATAATAGGTTCTAAGTAATCTATAAATAAAGCCATTAGTTAAATGAATGTGAAAAGCAGGTGCAATATTGTATTTAGGGAAAATGTTAATCTGGTCCCCTATAAACCTTTTCCACAGCAGACATTTTGACTGGTCATAGTAGGAAAAGCACAGGTGAAACTGATAACAGTAACAATGTCTTAGTTCCATTAAGTGCCCCAGTCAGCTATTAGCTACCATGCACAATACCAGGACCTCTCCTAAGTGGACTGCAGCCATCATAGTTGTTATTAAACATACCTGTGCCGTTCCTACAATGACAAGTTGTCAAGTTAGGTGGCAGTGGCTTGGGAGTTAGAGCAGGTCGTCCACTAATTGGAAGGTCGGTGGTTCGATCCCCGTCTCCTCCAGTCCGCATGTCAAAGTATCCTTTGGCAGGATAGTGAAACCCAAATTGCTCCCAATGGGTGTGAGTGTGTTAAGGCTGAGTATCAGGTGGCAACTTGTGTGGTAGCTACTAGTGTGTGAATGTGTGTGTGAATGGGTGAATGTGACATGTAGTGTTAAAGCATTTTGAGTGGTCAGAAGTCCAGGTCCATTTATCATCTATTTAAAAATCAAAATGTCTGCTGTGAAAAATGTATATTGCACTTCTGTCCAGGTAGGACTGTGGAAAAACCACTCCAAACATAAACCAGAGGGAGGCTGTTTTGCTGCTCACCAGAAACCAGAAGCCCAGAAAAGTATGAGCAACAGCAACCTGAAGAGCCACATCTACAGCGACCTGAAAAACCTGCAGAAAATCATCCATGAGGTCGAGCTGCTGCAGAGCTCCAGAGACCAACAGGTAGAGGAGACCCTGCTGTGTAATGAGAACCTGGAGCAGGAGCTGTGGCGCTCTAAAGAGACTGTGGCTGCTCTAGAGGACTGCAACCGAGCCCTGAAGAGGGAGCAGGTGGGGATGAGGAGGAAGGTGGAGGAGGCCAGGCAGGCACTGCTCAGTGGCCTGGGGAAGGTGAAGGAACTGGAAGCCAAGGCCAGTCATGTGCCAGTGCTACAGAGACACATCCTCCAGCTGGAATCAGAACTCCTCTATTACAGGTAAGAAGGAGTATTTTTTCACATTTCACACAACATCCATCAGCTTTTAGTGTGTACAAGTTCAACTAAGTGCAACACCATGAATTTCAATGAGGAGAGATTAGGCAAAAGTCTGCTCTGCTATGTGCATTTTAACAATCATTGAAGTCAGGACAAAGAGAGATAGAGGAGTTGGGTTGACAGTAGGTGTAGCAGATATAAAAGGTTTTGCCTTTAAATGTGGTTTAGGACTATGGTCAAAAGACAGAGGGACGTTGTATGCTGCAAAGCCCTTAGAGGCTAATTGTGATTTGTGGTATTGGGCTTTATAGATAAAATTGATACTGAGTTGGAATTTTTATTTGTACAGCCCTTTGAGGCATGCTTTGTGATTGTGCTACAATGAAGTCTGGCTGAATTCAGATGTCCGGACTTCACTGCACTTGCAGTGTCATGGACTTTGCGGAAGTCTGGGAGTGTCCAAATCTATCTCATCCAGTCCACAAGGGGCCCTAAAGTGGACTTTTTGCAGACTTCCAAAAAGTTCACTTGGGGTGCAGACTTCAGCAGACTTCACTGATTCAATTGCCAACATTTCATTTCAATACAGATGTGACGTTGTACTTTTTTTTTTTTTAAATACATTTAAAAAAAAATGGCGAAAACGTAGTTTCTTCCAACACTATAATTAAGATAAAAATATTCACAAATGAAAAAACACTAATGGTCGGTGATAAGTAGTGTTTAACTTTTGATTGAACACTAAATTAAAACCCTCGGCGCATACTGCAGCACAATCAAACAGATGCGCAACTCAGAGCATCAGAAGTGTCTCTGACACCAGACTCAGAGCGGACCGGTGGAACTGGAAAATGCATATTTTACATCAATAAAATCTATTTTATCATTATTTTGAGTCACATTGTTGAAAGAATTTAGTCGTCTGTGTTCAAGCAGGATAATAGCAGGTCTCCATTGTGCGTCGGGCTTTCTATTTCCTTGTCAAAGTATCGGACTGGTGGGGGTTAGTGTTGCGTTTAAGGCCTCCCCCCAAAAAACGGAAAAAAAGCGCCGAAGCTTTGAATTTTTTTTTTCACAATCGAATTCCGTGCCATCGAACGAAGCTTCAAAGCTTCGAATTTTTTGGGTCAGCCCTAATCACAAACATGTCTGTATTTGAATGTCTTCAGTCTGTATGTTATACAGACATGTATTTTGTTCACTCACAAAACAACCTTATACATGAGATTTCTGTGTTATCTGCAGGGACAGATGAGTGGACACTTTGGGTTACCCATAGATATGAAATCTGCGATATGAATAAATTTGCCTTGCCTCGCCTATGGAACCCCAAAATGTTCAATATAAAATAAATCGGAAAGATACAGTGAACTTCTGAAATTGGTGAATTATTTGTGAAATTATGAAAGAGGTGACTAAAACCCAAGTCATTATTATGACATGTTACTTCATCATTCATTTCCATAATAACTGAATTTTATTGGATTAAAAAGTGACATAGAATATAATATGGATATGTTGTTATATGTATTTAAGTGATATGTATGTATTATTGAGGTATTTAACTGTATATTGAGTTATGTTTTTTTTGGTATGGCTGATATTTTGAGTCTGATGTAGAGGATTTATATCCTGTATCAGATGTATTTTCATTAAATTTCATTAAATAATGGTTACTCGGAAAAATGCCTTCTTGAAATAAAAGCATACTCTTAAAAAAGGGCATAGAGTGCCCCAGTAATGAGTACTTAAACCAAGAAATTAATTGCCATTATAGCTCTCCAGGTTCCCTTCTGCTGCTGGAAAGTGAGATTGCTGCAGCAGTGATTGCAACTGACATTTTGACATTTATTCTTTTTACATGTATTTCCATTGATATGAAGATGATGTCACAGAAAGAGGGTAGAGACTAGACAAAGAGCTTTTTTTTACCTCTTCATTGAATTCAATCAGTTGTCAAAGCCTGAGCAAAACAAGTGTCTGGCTGTACATCATGTCACAAGTAAGGGATTGTTTTGGCAGGTTATAGCCTTAGGAAGGCCTTTGTGGCCAGAATGAACCATAATGAATTATGATCCCTCCTAGAGTAAAATTAATCTGTTTACTTCTGGCTTCATGCCTGGGAAACTCTGCCATGCTCCTTATGAAGGCATGATTTGGTTTACTTTTCCAATTTTCAGTCTTGTTGTGTGTTGGTTTATTTAACAGGCATTGTGTGTGGCAGGCTAGTCCTGTCTGAGCTCCACTACTCTTGGGAAGCAGGCTATTCATTTTGCTGGAAGTAAGGGTGTAATTGGACTTAGTACAAAGCCATTGGTTTAATGGTTATCTGTGTCTGCTGTCTCTGCTCCAACCATAAAATCAGTGTCTGCAGGTCTGACTTTCTTAGATGTCTGTAAATAGTTTAAGTTAACATCCACTTAATGCTGTTATTATGGACTATAAGACACAGTCACATACAACCAGACCCATATGATTTAAAGTTATTTTAAGAGACAATTTTCATAGCCACAACCTCCTGCTTATAACCCTAAACCCCAGTAATCTATGCAGACTGCATTCCGAGGTCTTTTGACTGCCCTCCCATTGATACACTAATGGCAAATAATTCAACACCACAAAGGCTCTGACTTGTCAAGAGAGATACATTGAGTGAGGATCTCAACAGACTGATCGTTCTCATCAATCTCAGCTCGCTTCTTTCGCTCTGCTCCAGAAAGAACAATACCACACAGGCACCCCCATCCTATGGATCTTAGCAACCGAGCTCCATGAATATTCCTTCTGAAAGCCTAAATGCTTGCTCAGTCTCATCTCATCCAAGGACATGGTTAGATAGAAAGGTGCCAGTTGAGGTGTTGTGACTTAACATTTGTGCAAGATGCAATGCTTTTTTTTTGTCCTCTTTTACGCATCGTTTAAAAACCGTGTGACTCTGAGTTAGGCTACCTTAAAATTAAGTCATTACTCTTTCAACATGCTGTCTCAGATCATATGTGGTGGGTACAGAGATGTTGAAATGATCGACTGTAACTTTATCCTTGTGGATTATTTCGAAACTGCTGTGACAAGGAATGAGATTAACTGAGAATCTGCTGGATCTCAGAGATACAGAGTTACAGGGCTAGGGGGTGGTTAAGAGCTTCCACTGCTTCTGTCTTGGGGATTCTACCACACTGTGATAATAAAGATGAAGACAGATGGTGGTTATGGATCCTTATGATATTAAAGCACCTAGTATGAGACCTTACCCAGCAGGATTGCCACCTTATTTTTGCATTTGTAACATTTGAAGTTCAGCATTTTGGGAAGTACAGTTGCATGCAAAGGTTTATCACCCTTGGTCCAAATTCTGTTTACTGTGGATAGCTAAGCAAGTAAAAGATGTTCTTATTTCCACAAGGCAAAAAGTTAATTGATGACACATTTCTTTAATATTTTAAGGAAGACTCTGTGAGCTCTGTGAAATTCTTGGGCTGTTTTGCATGCACTGCTCTTCTGAGGCGTCTCCACAGATTTTTAATTATGTTTGGGTCGGGGGACTGTCAGGGCCATGGCAAAACCTTCAGCTTGGACCTCTTGAGGTAGTCCATTGGAAATTTCGAGATGTGATCCTTGTCCTGTTGTAGAAGCCATCCTCTCTTCGTCAGCTTTTTTACAGATGGTGTGGTGTTTGCTGTTGTTATGTTTATGTGATCAAATTGTGCACCCTTTTTCTAACATACCTTTGATCATTCTGTCCAAAAAGTTCTATATTAACTTCATCAGTCCACAGGACATGTTTCCAAAAAGCATCAGGCTTGTTTCTTTGCAAACTTCTGTTGCTGAATTTTGTGATGAGGACACACGAATGACTCTTCCACGAAGGTCATATTTGTACAGGTGTCGCTGCACAGTAGAACAGTGCACCATAGGGGTATGCCTTATGATCTCGTTCACGATAATAACGGTATAATTTTTAGTCTCATATGAAAAATTCATATTGTGATACTCTTGATATTCAATTCAATTCAATTCAATGCCTTTATTGTCATTGCACAGTAGTACAACAAAATTTGTGATTCTGGGCTATTACACATAAAAACAGCAAAAGATGATAAACAATAACAATAATCAGCAACAGTGAGACACATAGAATAGACTATGGGTAAAAATATGAGAATATAAAATGCAGTAATAAATAAATAGATAATATGAATCAGTGCAGCGTAAAAAGAGCAGCAGCAGCAATATAGACTGAATTGCACATCTAGCCCAGCCAAGGAGCATACACAGTATGCACTATTGTATATTGAATTAATATGAATTTATTATCTTAATAGCACTTATGGCATAAAAAGTGTTAAGGAGTCTGGAAGTGCGAGATCTCGTAGACCTGTATCGCCTTCCAGAGGGTAACAGTGTGAAATGTTGGTGACCTGGGTGGGAAGAGTCCTTAATTATGTTTGTGGCCCTACGGAGACAGCGGCTTTTGTACACGTCCTCAAGTGCTGGTAACTGTGTACCAATGATGTTCTGGGCTAACTTGACGACCCTCTGGAGAGCCTTCCTTTCAGCAGCCATGCAGCTGGAAAACCACACTAGTGAGAGTCCATGTGAGGTCCTGGGAGATGTGTGTACCCAAGAATTTAAAGAAAGACACTCTCTCCACAATTTCTCCTTTGATGTGTAATGGAGCAGGAAACTTCTTCTCTTTCCTGAAACACACTATCATCTCCTTTGTTTTGGAGGTGTTTAGTATCAGATTGTTTGTGGAGCACCATTCAGTCAGTCTACAGACTTCATCCCTATAGGCAGATTCGTCTACGTTCTGTATCAGTCCGACCACAGTGGTGTCGTCTGCAAACTTAATGATGTTGTTTGTGCTGTGTGTTGGTGTACAGTCATGTGTGTAGAGGTCAAACAGAAGAGGACTCAGCACACAACCTTGCGGGGCCCCAGTGTTGAGTCTCAGGGAGGAAGAGTGGTGGGTACCCAGCCTGACCATCTATGACCGGTTG